GTCTGATATAAAATAGTAACAAAAGAAAATCTAGGGCAAACTTAAATAATTAACTAAATTATAAAATTAATACAAAATTGATGGCCCATGAGGGGATCGAACCCGCGACCTTCGCGTTATTAGCACGACGCTCTAACCAACTGAGCTAATGGGCCCTTGTTAACATAGCATTTTTTTATTCTTTTGTTTTAGGAATATTATAGAAAAAGAAACAAAATTCGGGTAAGTGTACATAACGTTGTGAAAATTAGAAAACTCCAATGATTACATTTTCCACATTACAGTTATAAGAACTCTCAAGCTGGATTGAAGCTTACGCCACTTGGGCCTGTCCTCGGGATGTATTGTGTAAGTAAGGAAGCTAACGGTGGAAAGAAGACAAAGATAATTCCGTCAATCTTCATTATATGTCGGTACCTACCGAAAAGATTATAACAATATTTCATGCCGTGTGTCCATGTGTGCGTGTCGCGCTCGACCGCTGATGACGTCACTACCAGGAAATATCTGTGTTCCCGCAGGCACGACGCGACCACGCGACCACGCCTGCGATCGTGTTACTCTAATGACTTACGGAGAATTGCATATTCAAATTGTTATGTACACAGCGAATAGACAATGTTTCAAACCTTTTTTTTTATTTACCGAAAACATAATGAAGATTTTGTTATTTCTTTTACTGCGTCTACATGTTACCGCGCTCCGGTGAGGATCCCACAGCTGGCAAATTAATTAACTTCTCACCGGGTTGATGCGCCTGTAGCCAGCGGTCACACACCCCCGCCCCCCTCCGTCCCACCCCACCGAGCCCTACCTGTAGAGAGGACTGAAACTAAAATCATTTATCCCTTCTGTAACGTTAATTAAATACCAACACTACACTAAACTAAAACTTACTGACTTGAACGCTACTACTGTGCTAACATATTGCATAACGTGTTGTTACAAAATCAAATGAAACATTTAAAACAAAAGTCTTGAGACTTTTTTGTAGGATAGGTAGATAGTTATTGCTATAGTTATATTTCCTTAATTAATTTGAGAACTGTATTCAAAAACATGTGATCTGTCAAGAAATGTGCCAATGTTTAAAAATATTGACCGATCGAAATATACATTTTAAACTGAAACCACATATTTCATTATACAAGTAAGCCCTTTATAGTAATAACGATCCCGTCGCGACTGTTTCGGGGATTTTCTACTTCATTAAAATTCATTGAAAATGTTTGTATTCCATGAAGTACAAACAAGTACATTATGTAGATCTTTGTGTCTGTGCAAATAAACTTGAATGGTCGCCGCCATCTTGTGTGTTATGAGGAAGAACATCATCGCAATGGCAATAGAACATAAAACGCTACGAGCTTTGCAGAGATAGCAGATGTCATCGGCAACAAGCATCCCGCTACGTAACACGAGAGACGTTTTTATAAATTCTTGTTATAAACATACACAGATGTTTGTACATTATAATAAAAATAATCTACGTTACTGACGATCTCAATCAGGGTTTCATGTGAAATCTTGTGCGAATGGCAATATGGGCGTATTTTGGCGGAGAAATATCCGCTGCGACGCTACGAGATGCTACGAGTTTCACGATAAACAGCGCTGCACTGATCCGTCTACGCCAAGTTTTGCACACTATTCACAGAGTCATTTATCTAGTATTCGTTAGTGTGGATGTATTGTCTTCTATTTTACGTTTATTTACATGTTATATAATACCGTACATTTTAATACTCTGACATGTTCCGGAATATTGTATTTCCACACTGAAAGAAAACAAACGTACAAATTAAGCTAGGTTTCAGATACTTAAGTAAACTATTTCCTCTTTTTTTTCATCTACCTATGTAGGTAATACTAAGTATATAATCATAATCTCTGTGTATGTAATATGTAATACTACTGGTGGTCTTAAGTGTAGGTAGAGTAAATAAATTCATGTTCAACTTTAAACAGCCGCTATGTAAACTAGCTTCACGTACATCATGGTGTCAGGTCGCTGTGCGCGGAATGCGGGGGCTGTGCGGGCTGGTATGCGAGGGGAGGGGCTCTGTCTCGCTGCGTGTTTTGCTAAGAATTCTTACTAAGAAATGCGACCGTATCGGATCACAGCTACTTTACGCCTGACGAATATACATAAAAGAAAAAACAATTTGAAATTATTAAATAAGTTTCTCATTAATGACGTAGGTCTGTTCCAGTGTCTTCTTATAGTCCTCGGCCAATGTGGAGCATGTCATAATTTTCACAACGATCAATCTCAGGGCGGCCCTTTCCGCTTGTAGTAGCCATCTAGTGTATTCACATTTCACAAGAATTTCATTGTTCAGTTCATTAAGTACATACAGGTTCTGCTGTCGCGGTGCAGTTTGCAGCTGTACTAGCTGACAATTTGTATCCGATCTGATGTCAGACGCTAATTGATTGATAGAAGCCATAAGTAATACACCCAATTCAAAGTTTGCTGATCCATTTGTTACCATAGTACTAGTTATATTTATATATGTAAGTTAATATTAATCTCAGATTAACTCAAGCTTGCTTATTTATAGGTCATCCGTACTTCTTACTCTTGTTTTAATTCTATAAGACCAGTTATCCGATTGAGGTTTACGGTCTCTATCTCAGATATCTTAACTATTAGATTCAGTGCGCAAACACAGTAATTTATTTTGGAACTAGTGTGGGATGGTCTCGCTACGAGCTGTTTGTTTGCGGGCTGCAGATGTCCCCCCCACCTCTTGTATGTATGTAATCGTATATTTCATAAAACGTAAGAATTGACTCCATGGCTTGGGCATATTTGCAAATATTAACTATATCTAAGATTTGAATGTCATTGTTGAATCTGCAGTTCATCAAACCCGTTCAGAAGTACATTTCATGTCATTTTTTCCGTTTTAATTTTGAAGTAAGATAACGCTACAAGTAGCACAAAGTGTTTGTGAAAATCAATTTAATATTTTATGATTGATCACATAACAGTGTACCCATGACACATTATATTGGATTTAATTATAAAATGAATTACCCTGCGAGCAACAGTTCGCGACAGGAGTGACATATTGTACAATCAATTTATCTGCGTGACGCTGCAGTGCGGCGCCGCGCCGCCACACCGACACAGACACATTGGTGTCCGCCGCAACGCGCCGCTCGCTCCTCGCCCGCGCTGTTCCATCACACTAGAATACTACCATATTGTTAAAAAACATTTGATGTTTTCATTTTCGTAGTTAAGCAATATGAATCTTAGTCATAGTCTTAGTTACCTATTTAATTTGGTCCTTTAAAAAGTTTAAGATTTTAAAAAGTTACCTGCATGAATAAATCAGAAGTTGAAACAACAAGAGGTCTCGAAAGGTTAATAAATATGAAATGTTTACGACACTCAGACACGGAGTACGCGAGGGCGAGTGTGAGGGCGTGACGCTGCTCGGGAAGGGTAACGAGCCCGTAAGGAGGCCCGCCACAAAAAGTCTTCTCATTACGAGTGGAGCTTCCTTATGCGCCCTGAGGGACCAATGCTCGCAACCAGCTTTAGCCTGACTGCTGCCTTTGCCTCCTGACTCCTGCCCCCGCGTGTGCAGCCCTACACATATCAGTAATGGCCAGTATAAACATTGCGAAAAACATTTCATGTTTATGCTTACAACGTCTTCAAAAATGAAAATGGGACTTGGAAAAAATACGATTATCAGGAGCACAGAATACAGAATGTTTTCGTGTTTGTATATGAAAATATCTTGCGAAGAAAAAAATTGACTATGACTAATTTTTTAATGGCAACAGAAACATACTTGAAGAAAAATACGGAACCTTTATTTTAGTTTGTCATCTAGCCCCGTACTGTCGTGATCGTAATATTGTGAAGTGACATGAAATGTGTGGAAAGGAATATGTGTCGCCGGCAGGAGGGCAGGAAATTACAGTTTCATAGGAGCCATACGTAACTCCTGCCTGGTGTCGCGCTTTCCTGATTCCTGGCACACATCGATAATAACTGGAATTTCTGTTCGTTAGATATTTTAACATATATCATTAGGCTGTTTTGTCTCATTTAAATGAAAGGGGATTTACGTAAAAGTTTTATAATTAGAGGTAAAAAAAAGATAAATAATCATACACCTAAACATAAAATAAATAAATCCATTCGTAATCAGAGCACGTTTACCGAAAATGTAGCGCAATCAGGAAAATGGAGATCCCGGATTAAAATATATCTAATCCATTACGCGGACTAAATATAGGCATCGTGCGACACAACCGGGATCGTTCGCAGTCGTGTCGTGTCGTGTCGTATCGCAGTTGTCAGCGAGCTATATACGAGTACAATACAAGGCGCATCAATATTCATCATCTAGCACACTGGTGACTGCTCGTAAAACAGTAGCGATGTGTTACATGATTGTTGTGCTCCAAAATTTACAACTTCTACCTCTTCACTTCAGTTGTAGGAATCCTCACCATCAAACCATTGCAACCTACTATCTAAGACTGTTTGCAATTCTGTCATTAATTCTCAAAGAAAAACAGTAAGAGTGCTTGACTTAGCTAGAAAAAATTGCGATTCAAAAATTGTAGGCTGCACTTACTTGTATTTGAAGTGATACTAATTATGACATTTTGGAAAACTCGCCAGAGTTTTAAGAAGCAACGTGTTTCAGCAAAGTTTGGATGAAATTAATTAAGGCAAATTAAAGTTGCACCGCGGAGGGGAGCCGATGTCGGCGGCAACTCGCAGCACCTCGTAAAACTTTAAACTGCGCTTTCAGTGTCGTTGTCGTTGTCGGTGTCGGTGTCGGTGTCGGTGTGTGCGGCGCAGCAGTATAAAGACCGTAAAAGTTATAAACTGCTTCAGCTGCGTCAAAGAATTGTGCTTAAGTCGAAGTGTCTCTATAATAAAATATTCTTTAGTCATAATAACTGTCGAGTGAACATAACTCCTCAATCATCGCACTTATTTTTTTAACATAATTTTTAACATCTAATTGGGCGATGTTTAATTTCATAACTAACAATCAGCTAAAAAACTATTTTAGTAACAAAAACAATTAGTAATTAATGTTTAAAACACTGCTAAAGAAAACCTCATCGTTTAATTCAGTGACTAAAGTTCATTAACAGTGAATAATTGAGCAAGATATGCTAATTGTCTCCCTCGATGCACCCTCTCACGTGTTCACGTAGACTGGATAAAACAAATGCGTGGTAAGCGACTTGCCCTCGCCCCCACCCCCGCCCACGCCCCCGCCAAATTCCATTACGTTTTGATGCATGTCAGATTGTAAGTGGTGCTTGCGAAACGAAGTGTTTAAAGTTCGTTGCAGTATTAGAACGTTAAAATCTCAGCTGGTAGTTTTTGATCAGCTCAGGTCGAAGGAATTCATAACAATGATTACTTCGAAAGTCAAAATAAAGTTAGTTGTAATACTAACATTCAATTTCCCTTTTAATTGACTTAACAAAAGTTAACTTCTTGGATGCTTACATTGAGCGAAATGTACATTTAATTAATTTAACTTCAGACTAAAAGTTAAATGAAGATCCAAGGAAACCTTTTATAAGATTAATGTTGTCTTCAAATTGTACATTTGCGACTCAATACACTTCGCACATTTTAATTCTAGCTTCTGAAGTCATTTATTTAAAAATAACTATTTATAACTGCACGATAAATAAATAATGTCAGGAGTTACGTTCAGGCGTGCGTCAGTGTTTCTGACACGCGGCTCATATCGACATGAAGGTTTGATTCTATTCAAATCACAATATTATATATTAAGTTTAAGGCTTGCTCATGACATGCGCTTTCCTTCGTCACAGCGGCAGGTACAAGGCGCGCACGGGACAGGTACTGGAAAGGTGAGTTACACTCGGCCTCGGTCGCCGTGTAACGCCCAACAGTTAATTTCTTTTTATTATCAAGAGTCCAACAGCAAGAAAAAAAGATTATTTATATAAAATAATAGACTTATTTTTCAAGATTTCATTAAAAACGCAGCTAAGGATTTTATCCCGGGCAGCGATCGAGCGGCGGTGAGCGCCGGTGGGCGCCAGTGGGCGCTGGCGGGGCGCCAGACTACTCGGCGTATCCTTTCGCCTACAAAAGCTCGGGATTTGACTTCTCACGCTCCTAAGCATACCAAAGCCCCCGGATAAAGCCGCGCTGTTTATTTACTTTGCTTATCTCTGCTATATTCAATTCATTGGATTTAATGCGAAGTGAAACATTTTCTTTTCCTAATTTCGTTGCTTACCGCGTTGTTTATTCATATCTATTATTCTAGTTTATTTAACAGAAAATGATTAAATACAGGCTTTATTAATATCTTAGGGATAATTAGTATCCGAGCTGTTGTATTCAAACTGTTGCCGATGTCCTTTCAGTGTCGTTTGTGCAATAACTTTATGCCCAGTTTACTGTATTCCAGTCCAGGGTTGAAGCACAATAGCAGATGAACATTAGTTACACAATAAATATTCATGCGCTATGAAAAATACCTCTAGAATCCTCGAGGTAAGTACAATATTAAACATATTGTTTTTGTGTAATGAGGGGGTGTCGTGCGATGCGCGCCGCCGCCGCCAGGTGTCGCTTCCCACGAGACATACACATTACCCACTACCAAAGCTATTTAAAAACCGGCAGTTTTTGTTCTGCTCCAAATAAATATGATAACGTCATGAGAATCACAGACACAAAAAAGAAGCATTTACATAAATAGTTACAATTTAAAAACAAATACAGCATCAACAACTGCTAGGAAATAAAAGAAACATAGATTCCCAGTGCGTAGCTTTATGACATTTGTTTATTTCTTCAGCCAAGTTCCAAATGACAATTCCGATGTGAATTATTGCTGTTTTTGTTACCGTTACAGAATCTACAACAAAAGTTCTTTAATTCAGAACAGAAATGGTTTATCGCGTACACAACACATTGATGGTAAAATCGGTATATTACATTCGTGAAGTAAAATAGAAAACGGTTATATTAGTATTCTGCTATAGGAGTGCTGCAGGCGCTGCACAGGTTTGCTTGGCCAACACCAATATTGACCAAAGGTATTCTATATTGCTTCTTGGCGAACATTCAAATCAAAGCTAACCGGATTTCTCTATTTATTTCGAACTTACTACCTTCTCCGTATGAGATCAATTCATACTACTTAACCCAAGATAAAAGAAAATAAATGCAGAAGTACTATTCATTACCAAAATTAATTTATATTTTAAACCCTTTCTGTTCACTTATTATTTAAAAACAAACTTTTTCTGTATACTGTTTGGAATCCTTTCTACTCAGTCGATTCCCAAAGAATCAAGAGAGTACAGAGATGTTTCACTAAATATGTAGCATTTATATCTCAGAGCATTAGCCACCGCTGTCCATACGAGCAAAGGCTAAAGTTTTTCAAAATGGAATCGCTGAAAAAAAATCGTAACAGACGCCGCACAAACGATCTGATGTTCTTGTTCAAGATTGTTAGGGGTCACATGAGCTGCAGTAAATTAGTTAATCGAATATCGCATGGTGTACCTCCGAGACCTCCCAGGCACCCAATAACCAAATTATTTTTCATACAATTGTATAAATCTAACTTAGGCCTGAACTCACCCATTCCCCGGATATGTCGTACGTACAACGAATTGCAGACCGAAAAGCATAACACAGATATATTTTGCACCTACATACATAATTTTAAAAAACACATATGCTCACATTCAGAGGCACAGACATAGGACTTGGTTTTAGCTAATTTCTTTTTTTTATCTTATCTTGTTTGTTCCACATTTTCTGTAACCTAACCGTAATGTTTTTTTTCTCTAACAATGTTGTATACCTATAATTGGATTTGTTATCATTCTTGTGTCTTATATTTTATTTCTTATGTAATTGTTCTATAACTTATCTGTTGGTGTACTTTATAAATAAATAAATATACAAAGACAAGTTTCAACTGTGCTCTCACCTCGACACCTGCAGTCTGCGGTCTGCAGTCTGCACACAGGGAAATAAATAATTAACTCTTCAACTGCAACCGGAAGCCGGTTTAGTCGCGACTGGGGACGCTAGTCATTTATGTTAATCTGTATATGCAACGCAACACTGAACTCCGGTCGCTTGTTGCATACAATCGTGTTTCACTACTGCTCGCCAATTGGTCGCACATTCGATCATAATTGATAATCAAAGATTTTTTAGATAGATTAGTGTTTGTTTTGTAATATGTCTTACAAACACAGACATTGACATAGAACATAATCTGGAATAACAAATTAGCTAATAAGTTATTAGTAACACTTTATGATATGTATGAAATCTCTTTGGAGTGGAGCGTAAGTTATTGAAACATAACTTAGTAAGTAACGGCAAATCCCAGCGGTAAGTAAGTTGTGTAATTAAGTGAAGCTGCAGGTTGGCCTCTTACAAATGATTGTTTTAGTTCGCCTACACCGTGCCCACACCGCGCCCACATCGCGCCCACACCGAGCCCACACCACACCAACGCCGCGCCCACACTAACAGGCCAGCGCTCTCCGCTAATTACTCGTACTTTGAAGCATTGTATTTATCTTGTCTGGATCCTGTGGCGTTTGCCAACTTCTTACCTACATATTGGTATAGCAATTATGTGCTTACACCTACTTCAGCAAGCCCTCAGTCTTAATATTGCAGGTCTGTATCTCGGAACAAACTAATATCAAATACGTTCAACTTTAAATTAAAAACTAATAAAAATGTTTTTGCCGTTGCGTTGCGGGAAGTTTTGTTTGTGCGCTTTCAAAGTTGAATATTGTAGAGCGTATGCATTACGAAAGTTTCTAACAACTCGCTGCCGAAAACTTTACACGAGCACGCCTGTCTGGCGGAGTCCCCGAGAGTCTCGGCCGCCCGCCGTCTCACGGGACTGTCGGAGATTCATTAGTCATATGTAACAAATGCGCATCTTCCTTGCATTCGCTTACTTCGAAACAGTTACTAATTTCAGGGGTATGTTCAGAAAGTATAATAAAAGGCACAATGACTACGCTTCATAGTAGATAAGTAGTTAATTATTTTTTCACTTATCTATCTTTATTAGAGTTTACAGAAATTTATTTAGTTAAAAATACCTATTTAGAAGAAATTATCAAAATAAACTTACAGCACAAAATTACCATACTAATTAAAATGTATTACAGAATGAAGTAAGCGGTAAGTAATTATTATTTAAATATTTGTTATAGCAGGTGAGTACTCGTAGTATCTCGCCGCTCGCCGCTCGCTCACTACTTCTCCAATTACTATTGTCGACTGAGTTCTCAACTCCTAGGAACTTGTTGGAACCACAGTTAATACATTATATTACTATACTAGTTGAAACTAAATTACTTGTAATACCAAATGCCAGGTTGCCTAATTGCTAATTGCCTTATCAAAGTTTCAGGTTGCAGTTCTGGAAACTACTAGTATGTGAGATACTGCTTTTATCAAAACGAATTTAAGTTGATGATGATGATATACGTTTTTTTTTGTTTATTCAACATGTTTTCTTGTGAGTGTTTGATAAAATGAAATACGAGTATATTATTTCATGTATTTAATGAATAAATAAATAAATAAATAAGTAATAAATAAAAAATATACATTTATCGACCTATTGATATCAAAAATAAAAAGCAACGTAATTTTAACTCAATTCATAATTTCTAATAATAAATTGAAGATTTCTGGTATTAAGAATAAAGGTAAGGTATCTCATGAGAGTTTTCATGCTCGACCTCTTTTGGAGTTACAGGTTGGGGATATTGAGAGTTTTCATGTCCAATGTCCTCTGGAGTTAAATGTTGGGGATAATGAGAGTTTTCATGCTCGACCTCTTTTGGAGTTACAGGTTGGGGATACTGAGAGTTTTCATGTCCAATGTCTTCTGGAGTGAAATGTTGGGGATATTGAGAGTTTTCATGTCCAATGTCCTCTGGAGTTAAATGTTGGGGATAATGAGAGTTTTCATGCTCGACCTCTTTTGGAGTTACAGGTTGGGGATATTGAGAGTTTTCATGTCCAATGTCTTCTGGAGTTAAATGTTGGGGATAAAGAGAATTTTCATGCTCGACCTCTTTTGTAGTTACATGTTGGGGATATTGAGAGTTTTCATGCTCCAATTCTTGTGGTGTTTCGTGTCGGGGATATTGTGAGTTTTTGGATTCACAGTAATTGTTTACGTTTATGTGACCACCATATTTAATGATGTCGGCAGCTTTCTCAGCGAGCATGACGACTGCCGCGGTGGTGGGCCCGCCGACCTCGCGCGGTATCACGCTGCCGTCCACGACGCGTAGCCCACTCAAGCCGCGCACGCGAAGCTCGCTGTCCACCACAGATCCCATAGCACAAGTGCCTACGTAATGGTGCAGCGTGGCTACAATGCAGCGAACAAAGCAACGAATGTACGGTTTACTCCACAACTCGAGTCCCTCGCACATTTCCAGTTTTAGGTCAACGACTTCCGCATTCATGCTTCTAAAGAGAGTAGTGTTTACCAATCTGAGAGTTTCTTCAATGTAATCCACGTAGCGCTCCAAGTCTCGTTCGTCGCGCAGTATGCCCGCGTCGATGAGAGGTGGGTCGGCAATATTCGCGCTGCGCAGCGTCACTCGGCCACGAGAAAAGGGGTATAGCATCACCGCACACGACAGCATCACGTCTCTCCCTTTGCATTCGTCAAATAAAATTTGACAAAGTCTATTTTTGTAACCATGATAGAAACCACAAAACTGTAACAGATCCGGTGAGTCGTGCTGCACTATATAATTGACACTTTCGTACTCTATACGATCCGCGGACCCATTCGCAGGCACGCTACCGACAAACGAAGTGAACAGTGGACTTCGACGGGGATCGGTTGGCTCCAGCGGAGCCCGAGAGTAATCCATTTTAAAAGGGACAAAAACGGATACATGGTTTTGGTAGTTAAAGCCGACAGGAAGATCTTTGCGGACACGAATGCCTAGCTCCTGCAGGTGCTCCTTGGGCCCGATGCCCGACAGCATAAGTAGCTGAGGGCTGTTGAATGTGCCCGCCGATAAGATCACCTCTTTTCTAGCTCTGACTGATATGTTTTTATTGTCCTTCGTTAGTTTCACCCCGATGGCTCTGTTCGAATTGTCGAACAAGATTTGATAAACCGTGGCATGCCTAACGACGTAAAGATTCTCTCTATCTTTGACGGGTCTGAGGTATGCGTAGGCGGTGCTCTGACGCACACCGTCGGCAATCATAAACATTTGCTGAACGAACCCCGAAAAAGAGCATCCATTTATGTCCAGTGGAGTCGAATAGTTTAATTCCTTAACAGCGGTTAAGTATCTACTCGTTTTGGGATCGGGGTCCCTGGTGAGGTCCAGGTATCCTCCGGTGCTGTAATATTTAGCACAGGAAGAGCTCAATACTTCACAGTCTTTTAAATTTTCGGCTTTTTTAAAGTAAGGGTAAACGGCGTCCCAGCTCCAGTTGCGGTCGGCGAGCAGCTCGGCCCAGGTGTCGTAGTCGTGGGGGTTGCCGCGCACGTAGTACAGTGAGCTAATAGCGGTGCCGCCGCCCAGCACGCGGCCCGCCACGATGTTGCCGGAGTGTTGCTTGTGGCAGCGCTGCGACACCGGGTCTGGCGTCGTTGTGTAGTTCCAGTCTAGGTAACCACGTAGTGTATAGGTTTGTAGAGCAGGCCACTAAAAATTTGTCATATTCTAAATAACATTTACTGATGCTGAAAATACCTGTATCAAATTAAACATACACTTTTTTATTATATATGTACTTTAATGATTTCCCCGTTCTTATTATACAGATTGATCTACGTAACGTACATATCTCTCGTTATCTCAGTTGTCAATCCCTTCTCAAATATGTTACCAATCACGCAATCCATTCATTTATTTACATAAACTTTACTTATTTACTTCGTTAGTTAAATATACCTGCGACTCAATGGGTGGGTCGCCGCCCGCCTCAAGAAGCAGCACGGACACGCCGGGCTGCTCCGACAGCCGGTTGGCCAGCACGCAGCCCGCGCCTCCGCCTCCCACAATCGAAGCAGTCGCCGTCTGTCACACAAATAGTCCAACGTAATAGTCAAACGGTGACTTCATCAACAGTAAATAAACTATAAGAAGCTGGAAAATAAATTAATTTGTTTGATTAAACGTAAATCGTAGGGTCGAGTCAGAAACACTAACAAGTTTTTAATTTACAAATTATCTACCTTGGCTCTTGTGATTCCCAAATTTAAAACAGAGTGCGGTTGTGGTACTTATGTGTTCCAACAATAGACAGTTAATATGCTCACCTGACAGCTCGGCCGGCTTAGGAAATAAATGATATGTGAGCTGCAGTAATGTGAGGGTGCGGAACGCCTCCTGCACGTTTACTGTAGACGCTATCGCTGCCTCCACGTCCATCCTGATTTCCCTCCTTTCGCTGCCTCTGCTGCCGCTACTGCTGTGCACTTGTGTATATTCCCTCTCTCAGCAAGTAAGGTACTCTTTTCAACAAGCCAATACTAGTTTATAAAAGTAAAACGACCCAGTACCTACTTATAGTAAATTGTTCTTCATTAAAAAAGAATTCCTGTTATATTTTTTACCTTAGTAACTTAAACACATAGATAACTGAAAATTACGAATTTTATGTTTTTGATACAATAATAATTACTTTCATATGCATATAATTACTTTAAGCTATCATACCGGTTTCGGAATTCAGCACACCGTTTCCGCTCGAGCACACAGCGCGGGAACAGCGACGTTCACATCAAAGCGGTGAGCGTTGGCCGCGCTCGCCACCAATCTGCACGCATACGGTCATCGATTTATTAGATATTTTATAACACTTTAATACAACCTTACGTTGCAAAGTTGAGTTTCCTGAAAAGCATCAACAATCTGATATTGCATATAAAAACTCGTTATATGATATTACGAGAGATATATCGCCGAGCGCCGGTCGCCGAGCGCCGGTCGCCGAACTCGGTCAAAGGCAACTATTTCATTACGTGGACACAATATACTGGGCCTTATCCGGCTCCAATATTGCACGAGCTTTAAATAAAACCTGATAAAAAATAGGATCAAAGTGAAAGTCCTATTTCAATCTCTTGATATAAGTATAATGATGTCATTGATGACATCAACATGACAAAACATGTGCACTGTTTCAGCGGGTACGTGTGTCTATGAAGTAGGTATGTGCATTGTTCGAAGTCAATTTAATATTATGCAGCTAATTTTCTGGTTATTTGTTGTGTCAACGAATGTCCCGAACAAAACTAAGAGAATAACTAATATAATTATGACGCAAGGAATTTTCGCATAAGTAAATCATTTTATTTAAGTACGAAAGTACATAGACCTAATGCCATGTACTCCAAATAGAACACATATAGATAATAAACCGTTACTTGTAACGGACACCGATTTCATATAGTAATGTTTATTTTTGTCTATTCATACAAATACCTACAAAAGAGGCCGTTTCTTTCAACGCCACGCGCGGAATGCAATATGAAAAACAGAAAAACGAGAAAAAGCTTTTAACGCGCGCACGACGTAATCCAATCTTATGTTGTGATCGAGTGGTGGAATGTTGCGGAGTGCTGTTGGCCGGAGTTGGCCGGGATGGGCAAACAATTCTAATTTTTGTTCTTAGGTACAACAAGATGGTTTTATTTCTTACTGTGCCTAACCGTACAACTGCAGGATTCCGTGACGGCAACACTGAATAAGAATGAGTGCAATCTGGCCAGACCCAGAATATGTTGGCGGGTCGCGAGCCGCTGTGGCAGCGTGGTTACTTGTAGGCCGCAGCCTCCCACAAACTTATATAAAATTTGCATGACACAGTTTGGCTGCGTGCCAAGCCTAATGCAACGCCACAACACCTGTGCGGTTGAATTTGTTCGAGAAAATTGCACATTTCTTGCAAATGTAGTCGCAGCGAGCTCGCTGCTATTCTCTCATTTCTTTCAGGTGTTTTCTGGTATCGTGGCACCGGTGCGTCACCTCGCTTATTATTAAATAGAATTTATTAAAGAGATTCACACATTCATGTTAAAAACTAAAAGTTAAAAGGAAGCTCATCGTTTTTAAGCTCACAGGAATGGAGGTTCGGATCACGTAAATTAATACCAATAAAATGGTAGTAGGATGTGATTAAGAAGTCAGAAAAGGTTTATGTATTATAGAAAATGTAACAACTTTCTTTATTCAACTAACTTTCCGCCAGCTTGCAGTTAATTCCTTATGCCATTTGTTTTATCTCAAGGTATGAAAATTACGTAAGATGTTTAACGGCACTGCGATACAGGCACCGACGGCGGCTGGCGGCTGGCGGCTTGGCGGCTTGGCGTCTTGGCGGCCAGCCACCGCGCCGCCCACCGACATCTGCTATTTGGCAGCCGCATGCCCTCAGCGGCACTGCTCAAGACATTCTAGACTAATGCCTCTATACCTTATTCTAAATGAAAACTTCTTGGACCGGTTCTACACTTATTTATCTTGTCTCCTCATATTATCTAAGCATGGCCACTCGACATTCCTTCTTCCTTCATCTTATGTGCAATTAAACATTAACTAACTACATTTAACAGCGGTTTATGACTGAAGATATTCAAGTCATTTTACTATTATTAGCTACGTGTTACGTGTAGGAACAATATTTTTTTAAAGCTGGTAAAGTCCTTTGTTCAAAAGTTCGATGTCACCTTGCGTACGGCAGTTTGGCAATACATCACCGTCAGGCGGCGGGCTTTCGATTTAACTTTAATTCCGATATAATCGCTCTGCCAACAAACTTCCAACAAGATTAGTTACAATATTTTGTTCCAATTCTCCTTCCTTGGTGCTTTATGTTTCACGGAGCACATTAAGATCGTAATAATTTACCTTTTTACTTCTCTTTTCGCTTCCCGAAAAAAACTTTACAACATGCGAATTTAATATGCAACACAAAACGACACATTCAAATTCGTATATTTATCTAGTTATCATTTATTTTTTATTTGTAATGTTAGTTCAAAAAGTTGTGTAAAGAAGACTAAAATTAATTAAAAAATTACGTCACTTTGATAACAGTTGTTACATATGTATAATGTTATTAAATTAAATGACGTAATTGCGCGGCAGATGAAGCCATTCAGAGTTAACCCGTGATTCAAACTCTGCTGGTTAATTACGTAGCTAATCTACGTAATTAACATAAAAATAATTTTTCAAGTTCCATTACTTGGTCGTTGGGTTCGCTTCGAAACGAGGAGTCATAACATTATTATTGTGTGGAGCATTAGCGGGCGCGAGAAGACGAGGGACCGCGGAGGAGGGGGGGCTATCGTAAAGAGCGCTAATTAAGATATGGAAGCTAAGGGACGAATAATTACGCTTTTATTTCGCTTTGCGATGTTTTTTCCTTGTTCATGGAGATTTCATAACAAAACAAAGTCAGTTTTACGACATTTGTCTGCCGCTCGACTGCTCGGCCGCCGAGCCGGTCTCACTGGCATATTACACATTACGTTCTCAAGGAATCTTGAATCTGCGACGTACACTTACACCGACATAAGGTACCTCTGTGTTGAAGTGTTGACAAGTGGACCTCAGTACACTGTATGAACTAATATTGAGAACCAAGGATTTATAGAGCACATAACTTCATCTATAGTTTGTCTAAATAAGATAGATTAGTTTGATAAATGACGCATATGAAGTATCGAATTTAATTTGTATGAAGGCAAATACCGTACTTAATAGCCAGGTATCGTAGTGACGAAAGAAACACGCATAGGGAACAATTATGAACTATCGATATTCGGTTTAAGTAAAATGTATCGAACTTAACTAAAATTATTACTTTCTTATTAAAAAATTAAGAAAGTAATTCTTGTATTGATTATAGTGTAGAGAATTTAGCGATGACAATAATAAGCGAAATCAAATTCCATTAAGTACGGCTGTAGTAGTAATAGAAAATGTATTTACTCTCATTATTTGTAATAGTTCTGCAGGTTATTGTTAATTTGAGAAAACAGTGTTTTTTTTTAATTCATAAGTTATAACTATGATTCTATCATTGAATTGGAATTAATATTATACCAACGTAACAGAGTCTCATAATTCAGTCAATTAAATCATTTGTGAGAGTTTGTTAGCATAGTTATGTTGTTTGACGAAGCAAATCAAACGCTAAGTTGACGTAATGTTAGAGACATACGCGGTGCGCCTACATCACAGAACGGCGCTGCGCAGTGCGGCATGCAACACACAACTCACCCTTGCTGTTACAATGACTCAATTATGACCAAATTATTTATAAATATTATTGTAACTATCTGTGATTGTTTCATTTGGACGACCTGTGGCTGCAGTGTTATCATTGTAGACTGTAGGAAGTGCCCAGTCCTTCATTCTGGTTCTAGCAACCACTGACACACCACTGCCAGACCTCTGGTACAATCTGTGATAGTTTGAAGTGATAAAACAACGAAGCTTGAATTGAAAAACATATCATATTTTAATTCTTTGTAAGTACTTATTTTTTTTGCTTTTTATTAATTGTTTGAAAATATGGGATGTGTTTATCTTATCGTTCCACATTGCCACAGGCGCGGGTCACAATGGACGGGCTGGCGGTGCCCACCATCCGGCGCATACAGATAGCGTTGCAGCTGCTGGCGTCCCTCAAGCTCTTCTCCTACCTGTTCCCACAGCAAGCCGTTGTCTACGGTGAGTGCAGCAACAACACAACACACTGCTGTGCGGCTAGAGTTGAGATACAGTCAAATATGATAGTTGTGTCTGTTGCAGATTACAGCACGTATGACTACGTGATAGTTGGCGGGGGAACGGCGGGCAGCGTGCTGGCCAACCGGCTCAGCGAGGACCGCACGCTCAACGTGCTGCTGCTGGAGGCTGGTGACGACCCCTCACTTGAAGTGCTGGTTAGTTTCTGTAGTGCACCAAGACATTTATCCCTCTTCAAATCACCCTTAAATTTAATGTATGTGCCTTACAGTTTAATGTGTATTTTTAATAATGAAATCTTATTGTAACGCTGATCTTCAGCTCGCAGGCCTGCTGCACCTGACGTCGCGCTCCCGCCTCGACTGGAACTACACATCGGAGACGACGCAGTATTCGCAATGCCACAAGGGCCGCGTGCTGCATCACCCCGGCGGCAAGGTGCTCGGCGGAAGCAGCAGCATCAACTACATGTTCTACTCCCGCGGCAGCCCGCTCGACTACGACATGTGGGCCACGGTCGTGAACGACTCCGCCTGGAACTGGTACAACACCGTGCCATACTTCCTCAAGAGCGAGAGACTGGAGGATCCGATTATTTATAATTCGCCTTACAGAGATAGCCACGGCATCAACGGTTATTTAGGTGTGACAAGAGAAACCAGTAACGAACTACATAAATATTTAGATTCGTTCAGGGAAAACGGCAAGCTGGAGACTTTCGACGTGAACGGCAACGAGAGCATGGGCTACACGCCGCAGATGTACACGATCGCCGGCGGCGCGCGCCAGACCACTGCATTCTCTTACCTCACGCCCATTCGGAATAGAACCAATCTGCACGTCATGAAGAACACGATGGCCACCAAGATCATTTTCGACAACAACAACCACGCCATCGGAGTCGAGGCGCTTACTGAGCGTAACGAGACGTACGTGCTGAAGGCGAGCAGAGAGGTGATCGTCGCCGCCGGCGCTTTCAACACGCCGCAGCTGCTCATGCTGTCGGGAATAGGCCCCGAGGAGCACCTGCGCTTACTGAACATTAATGTGCGTAGCAACCTACCCGTCGGCTACAACCTGCAGGACCATCCGTTCGTGTTGGTGTCGATCCGGGGAGAGCGGTCAGCGGCGGGCTCTCTGCACGGCGACCCCCACAACTTCCCACTGCCCACCTTCACCGGGTACGTGGCGCTGAACCGTGCCCAGTTGCACCCCGACTACCAGAGCATCAACTTCGCCGTGCCGAGCGACTCGCCGATGCCGCAAAAATTTTGCTCCCTCAATTTTGGATTCAAAAGTGACATCTGTCAAATACTTAAAGCCGGAGTAAAAGGCAGGAAGACGATTATGAGTTTGATCAGTCTCCTCCACCCCAAGTCGCGCGGGCGCGTGTTATTGCGCAGCACGTCACCGCGGGACCCGCCGCTCATATACAGCGGGTTATTTTCCGACGAGAGCGACATAGAAGATCTGATAAGCTACGTCAAAGATTTCACATCCGTAATGAATACCACGTACTTCCGAAAAATCCGCGCTCAACTAGTAGACCTAAGCGGCAACCGCTGCATCGGGTACAAGCTGTGGAGCCGCGAGTTCTGGCGCTGTTACATCGGATGCCTGGCGTCGCCTCTGCACGACTACTCCGGCACGTGCGCCATGGGCCTCGTGGTGGACTCGCGGCTGCGCGTACGCGGCGTGCGCCGGCTGCGAGTGGTAGATGCCAGCGTGCTGCCTGGCCTCGTGGGCGGCAACATCCTGGCCGCAGTAGTCATGCTCGCGGAGAAAGCCGCTGATTTGATCAAGAGAGATCTCTCCCTGAACTTCAGACCCAACCATCCCTTTATTAATGTGTAGATTGTTTAAGTTAGGGCTCCGCTGCGACTCAGTGTAATACTTTGGTAACATTCTTTGTACATAATCTATTTTTAATATAAAGTAGCCTAAGAATAATGCAAATTTTATAAGTTGTTATATTGTCGTATTGATTATAAGTTCATCTATAGCTTTCAATTGTATTTATAAAATTTTGTACGAGGTTTGGCCGTAACCGACCCAGTTAGACAAATTTTATTTAGTCGCAATATTTATTTAATTTAGAAAACATATCATAAAACTGAATAAAAATCGAGTAACCTTCAATTAGTACCTTAATTCATAATGTAATTGATAAGGACGAGTGGAGCAGCTGCCTGCCCCAGCCTCTGCCCCCGCACCTCACTTCACCTAACACGAAATTAAAGTTTAAACTTTGTTTGACAGTGATTTATGTGTGAAGCGCGCTCCCGCGGCCTTTCCTAAAATGCAAAATAATTGTTTGCGAATTATTCGCTAATGTACTGCTTGCGTGTGTCACAACACACAAACACCTGATGGGCAACTTCTCACATTATTAGCAAAATAAGGTAAAAAAAAACATCCAGAGGAATTTAGAAGCTCCTCTTCTCTTTTTGAAGTCGGTAATGAGAACGAACCTTTAACAATTGTTTTACTCGAAATAATGTTAAAACGAAGCTTTTGTAAAAAAAGATGCAATCATGTAAATTCTTTTAGAATAGAAAAAGTGTTTTATTTTTATTATTATGATGAAACATATTTTATAAAATAGAAAGATACTAAAAGTCGACACCGCTTCATAAACGTATTTCATTTTCTATCCGAGAACAGTTTCTTAACAAGTGAGAAACTTGGCGTAAGGTTCTTATTTATTGTTGCAGTATTAAAATAAATTTATTTGTATCAAAGTAAAGAAAAAAGAATGCACAATGTTAAGTTATATCAACCCTACGACATTACTATTTTATTTAAAGTTTTATTATAAATTCTAAACTTTAGATGGACTGATGGATGTTTGTTAGAAGGTATTTCGTAAACAGGTCAAGGGAACACAATGAAATTTTTCATAGATAAAGGGTACTCTTGAAGACATGGCTACTTAAAAAATATTTTTAACGCGCTGCAGTCCAAAACAAGTGTTGAAATAATTTAAAATGATGAGCCCAAACCTAAAAGTACTTGAATCGTAAGTAACAGATTCGCCATTCCCATTTTTTACTGAAGGTTCAATTAATCATAATTAAAACGTGAAACAAGATTTATGCAAACAGAATGTTATAGTAAATACCTACATCTTTGTTATTCATCAATTAGTAGTTTAACACATTGCTTCAGCTTTCATTTGTGACGAAAAAAGAATGGTCGAAAGAATTAACTAAAGGCTTGAAGTCGAACGGCTTACGCTTTGAAAACCTCATTTTGAACAATGAATAAACATAGTGAAGATATTATTTTCGATTAATATTATTTTGTCAGCGGCAATGTTATTCAAATTGTTTGAAATTTATGTAAACCGATACAGCGAGCAAAATACTTAGAATACATTTCTGAAGCCAATTTCCTTTCCGAATTCTATGTTATAGTTATTATATTTATAAATTCCATTGTAGCTTTCGAATTTACGATTTAATTGAAAGTCCACACAAATGTTAACTTCTCAGATATTTCAAACATGATTACGTCTGCAAATTCAGACATTCAAAACCTTGATACCATCACATACTTAAATAGCATTATTTTAAAAAAAAACTTGAGGGAGTTTTGACTACTCGTTAGTTAAATATCGTGTTTAAAAGAGCGGTCTAAAAAGTGATCAGACGAGCAAGACAATGGAGACGGCGACTGTAGCACCAAAGTTGCCAAACGGTAAAGTTATGTATTTACTTATCTTTTTGTGCAAACTTCTATTTGTCTGCTTTGTTTGCGAGTTATTATTGCGCCGGGCGACAATAGCAAGAGAGAAAAATATTGTTTCAGCGGAAACAGTTTAGAAGTTATAAATAACTGGAGTTTAGTCTCCACATAAAGATCGTACTCGATACCGAAGATTCCTTTGAACTGAACGACCGGGAACTTCGGTCTCCTGATAAACTGATAAAAGTTTTTACTCCGTCCACTTGTCTTCTTACCTTATATAATATCAAACATTACTGCGGCATCATTTGTTATAGTTTTGTAAATATTGCGAGGACAATGTTTGCAGAACGAGTAGGTGTACAACAAGATCACAATGCTGAATACGACCTAGTCTTTGTGCATCTTGAGTTATGTTATATTATCTGTTAACATTTCGCCAATTTTGTTTTATTTCTTATTTAAAATTAATTATTACCATTTATATCGTAAAAATGTCGGCCTTGTACAGCCGCAGTGGATAGGCCGTTTTTCTAAGCCGATATGGTCCCAGTTGGGTTTTAAAACCAGAACTTATTACTAAGAAAACAGGTAGCCCAGAGAATTCCTTTTTAAATTGTGGTCGTAAGAAATCTCCAACTGACAAACTTATATTATTTATTGATTACAAAATAAACGATGGTCTTCTTTTATAAAATCAGCAGCCTTTTCGGCAATCATGAGGACGGGAGCGTGCGTGTTGCCGCCGGGGAGTGTGGGCATGACGCTAGCGTCAGCCACGCGCAGCCGGCGCACGCCGCGCACTCGCAGCCGCGCGTCCACCACACCGCCCAGCGCGCACGTGCCTGCGTAGTGGTACATCGTGTTCATGACGCAGCGCGTGTAGCACCGCCAATACGGCCCGCTCCATGGCCGCAGCCCGCGGCACATCTCCAACTTCAAGTCTATTATCTCAGAACCGACACTTTTGAAATACGTAGTATTTACGATACGCGCATGATCCTCCAAATACTTAGCTAGATCGTCTAAGTCACGTTCGTCCGAAAACATCCCCGTGTGGACGGCGGGAGGGTCCTCGGGGTCCCTACTGCGGAGCCTTACTCTCCCCCGCGACCTCGGGTGCAGAATGTTTAACGTCGAGAAAAGCGTATTCTTACCCATGCCGCCGTTACGAAGATTGTTGCAAATGTCATAATCGAACCAGTAGCCGACCGCGCACAAGTTAAATGGAAAGTCGGAATCGTGGGGGACGACAAAATTAACCACTTGGTAGTCAGGCTGCTTGTGGTGCTTGTCGAGAGCCACATAGCCGACGAACGCGGGTAACGGAAATAAATGCTTATCAGGGGGCGCGGAGGGCGTAACAGATTCCCCCATTTTGAACGACATAAAAGTAGCCACGTGGTCCTGGTAGTTTAATCCAACCGGTATATTACTTCTAATCGGAATTCCGAGCTCCTCAAGATGATCTCTGGGCCCGATCCCCGCCAGCATCAGCAACTGAGGACTTCTAAAAGCCCCGGCCGACAAAATGACTTCCTTTCTCGCTACAAAAGATAAAAATGTTCCTCGCTGGGTTTTAACTTTAACACCCTTAGCATTATTGTCCTTGTCGAGTATGACTTCGGTAACTAATGTATTTTTGAGAATAAATAGATTTTTGCGTTGAACGATGGGAGCCAAGAATGAGTACGCCGCACTCTGGCGCACGCCGTCGGCGATGTTAAACAACGGGCTAGTGAATCCTACATGGCGATCTCCGTTCACATCCAGTAAAACCTCGTGCCCCATCTCATAGAAAGCCTCCAAAAATTTATTTATTTCACTCCGGTTTTCTCTCGTGACGCCCATGTACCCGTCCGTTCCGTGATATATTTTGTAAGGGGAATTTAGCAAGTCGGGGTCCTCAAGTCTCTCACTCTTAATGAAGTAGGATAGCACGCCAGGCCAGGACCATGCTGGGTCTCGCGCGGCGGCCGCCCAGCGCGCATAGTCCGGCGGCGCGCCGCGTACGTACAGCATGTAGTTGAGGCCGCTGCTGCCGCCCAGCATGTGCCCGCTCGTCAGATTGGAGACGCGGTTCCTGTGGCACTGCTGCGTCCTCTCATCGTTTTCTGACGTATAATTTTTATCGACTCGGCTTCCCGACATCGCAGGAAACAAGGCTGGAAACTACATAAAACGGTACTTAAAATCTCTTTATGCGCGTTACCCTCATCGATAGTAGATGCAACTGACCATCGACTCGTAGGGCGGGTCCCCCCCGGCTTCGACGAGCAGAACACTGGTTCGCTCGTGTTCCGTGAGCCTGTTAGCCAGCACGCAGCCGGCGGTGCCGCCGCCGACTATGATGAAATCAAAACCTTCTCCGCCTGGTGAGTTTTAAATGGTTATTACTAAATATCCTTAAATAATATTTAGAAGAATCTTTTTAGTACATATGAAGCCAACAAGTAGTCGGCCAACTATAAAAATAAAGCTAAAACATTAAGGTTAACAAAACATTGTGCGCCGACTCCACGAGAGTGGGATAAGGCCGGGGAGATGATGAGGATACTAAACTATTTAAACGTCTCTTGACTTATTGCTACTTTATCCGAAGCAAAGGTTACTGACCACTGAGGTTTGCGGTCCGCCCGTAGTGCGGTAGAGCAGGGCCAGCCGGCTGCGCAGCGCAGGCCGCCTGCAGCACGTGCAGCGCCACCAGCAGCCGCAGCAGCTGTCGCGACACCAGCACTGCCATCGCTCTGCTTGATGAATCACTAACAAATTCTAACTCACAAAGCACACTCTTAAATAATGATAATAAGACAACAAAACGGTAAGTATTATTATTAATCACTTATTTATTGCACAATATTAATGTAAAAAAAGCAATAATCAATTATAAATTGGCATTTAAATGGTCAATGTTAAACTTTTGACCTCACATTTATTAAAAAAGCTTTTATAAATACCTTTAGTGCAGTCGACCTTGTAATCGTCGCAAAAAACTGCACTACCAGCTTTGTAAATTCTATGAATGCTTGGCGAGACAGAGGCGGTACGGCGGTGAGGCAGCGCGGAGCGGCCGTGTATCTCAGCCCAACCTTTGTTATTAAAACTGCATAACACTTGGTACGTGACCCCAAATACTGGCAGCTCGTTGCTCACTCTACTTTTAATTTCGAACAAGGCCCGTATTCGCTCGGATGTTTTATATACGTAAACACTAACCAGTTGTGGCCAAGGACTAAACAATAAAAGAATTAATGACTACAAGATAACTCGATGAGCTATCCAACGATCGTTTCGCTTGGAATAGCAAAAAATAAAAAGCCACGTTGGTTACTTAACTTTTATTATTCAAAAAATGTTTGCAACTTTTTCGATTTTCTTTAGTAGTTATAATATATAGAATTAGTATTGTTTATGTGAAAGTACGCATAAGTGTGTCGGTTGTTTCACTTCCGGTGTAACGTATAAGCCGTATAATACCGTTTAATTCCGGCTCCTTGACGAAGGTCGACATCGGCCCTACTCACCTGTGACAGGAGAAGGGTCGCCCACGCCCGCCCTCCCCCCCCCCCGCGCCACTGCGACATTACAGTAAAATGAACAATTTAAGTTATACCCAAGTTTAAAAACATTAAATATAAATAATTCGATTTTACCCAAAGTCTTCGCAGCCATTTTCATCCTAGTACTTACTTAGTTTAATAAATGAAAGAACTTTCAAACAAAATACATTAAAAACAAAATATTCTCAAAAAAAACAATACACTAAAAAGTAACGAAATAACTGATTGAAAATAATAAACCTCCCTTATTGTAACTTTTATGTCTATATTGTACAATTATTATTACTTATGAAGATGTCGGTGTCAGCCAAGGTATGCAGTGATATTTCGTAAGGCTTTCTATATTTTTACCATCACAATTGACAATTGAAGGTAAAGTAACGTATAAGTAATGAATCTACATTGACTGACACACTACAAACTATTTAATTACGTCGTAGACTTTAACTCCAAAAATCAAACAAAAAAATGGGACCCACCTGCAAGCATTACCTTTCGGATAAAAAAATAATTATCAAAATCGGTCCACTAGCGGCGGAGTTATGCCGTAACGCACATAAAAAAACATACAAGCGAATTGAGTAACTCCTTCTTTTGGGTAGTCGGTCAAAAACATTAGAAGCCAAAGTAATTATTGTGGGAGATAAAGGTAAAAACGTAAAAATAAATGTCCTTATAACTTGATATCTTTTATAAGACGTGTAGTTATTAGACATTAATTATTTATATTTCTAGACTCGCTAAGTTGTGTCCACTATCTATTTCTTTTGTGAAGTCTAAGCACAAATAAACTAAAGGCAATTTAAGAAAAGGTGTTGTAATCAGGGGACTGAGATTTTCATCTCCGTTTCTTTACTCATATTTTACATCTTTTTAAGTTTCTGTAACTCATAATATAGAGCAGGCACACATTGAGCTTTTTCCTGTATTTCATAGAATGTCGCAAAATAATTAGATAGCTACGCGGCCGAGGGCTTGGTGAAGTATCGAACTAAATGTTTAATGTATTTCATTCAGAACAGGATAGCAATTTAACGGGAATTTTAAGTAGAAGCTAAAACTCATTTTAGAAAGACGAAATGCAAATATTCTTTAAAAAAGTTACACATAGAGTTTGACTGAGCAAACTCGATCGCACAGGTGTTGAAAGTAGAGAAAGGCTAACAGTATGGTGTTGGCTCCCTGCCAGCTCGGATAGTGAGAGCCTGTAACTCTCATACCCTTCGCCCAACTCGGCAGTCTCCAGCGCTATTTACTGCTACATAAGCTTTACAATCTATTTACAAGGTTTCAATTACACGACTAAGTAAGGGGGCAATGATTTTTTTCACGCCTAACCCTTTTTGTTATACATGTGGGTTTGTATGTTCTTGTAATTCTATTGCCTGGAGCCTAAACGACTGAAGGGATTTTAAAGTGTGAAGTATCAATCGATTCATCTGCTTCCCCAGAGTATCATAGGGCATATTACTTTATTTACTTTTTTTAATTTTATTTATATATATCTGCAAAAAAAATCTTCGACAGTTAATTCTAAAAAAAAAAAAAACAGAGACAAAAGTGAGTCCAAGTTTTTT